CCCTAGGTTCAATCCTTAGCACCACAAAACAACAATAAGATCAACAAAAACATAGTTAAGAGACAATCTATAGAATAAGAAAAAAAATATTTGCTATTAATCCAATTAAGAGATTAATCTTCAGAACAAAAGGAACTCAAAAACCTTAACATTCAGGGCTGGAGTTGTAGCTCAGTGGTAAAGCACTTGCCTAGCGTGTGTGAGGCACTAGGTTGGATCCTCAGCACCACATAAATATGAATAAATAAAATAAAGTTATTTTAAAAACTTAATACTAAAACACAATAATAATAAATAATCTAAAATGATTTAGATATATGAATAGGCATTTCTCAAAAGAAGAAACAATGACCCCTCCAAAAGAAAAAAAAAAAAATATATATATATATATATATATATAAAGTAAATGTCACTAATCATCAGGGAAGTGCAAATTAAAACCATAATGAGATATCATCTCACCCCAACTAGAATGGCTGATTCAAAAAGAAAAAAAAAATAACAAATGCTGGTGAGGATGCAGAGAAAGAGTCACTCTTAGAAACTGTTGGTGGGAATGTAAATTAGTACAGCCACTATAGAAAACAGTAGTTTTTAAGATTTCTCAAAAAACTAAAAATAGAACTACCATATGATCTAGCAATTCCACTACTGGGTCTGCATCCAAAAGAAATGAAATCATTATACCAAGAGATACCTGCACTCATATATTTGTTGCGGCTTTGTTCACAACAGCTAAGATATGGAATTAACCAAGGTGTGTATCAATAGATGAGTGAATAAGGAAAATGTGATGTATATAATACCATGAAATATTATTCCACCATAAAAAAGGAATAAAATACTGTCATTTGTAGCAACATAGATGGAAAGTGGAGGTCATTGGTGTTAAATGAAATAATCCAGACACATAAAGACAAATTCCACATGTCCACATGTCCTCCCTCATTTGTGGAAAATAAAAAGTCGATCTCACAGAAGAACAGAGTGCAATAGTCACTAGAGACTGGAAAGTGCAGGTGAAAAGAAATTAGATAAGTGGCACCAAAACAAAGTTAGGAGGAATTCATTCTGGTTTTCTATAGCATTGTAGGGTAACTGTTGGTTATAACAATCTATGAAAAAGTGAAGAGTATGAAAGTTCCCACCATGTAGAAATGATTAATGTCTGAGGAGATGAAAATGCTTATCCACCTGATTTGATCAATACACATTGTAGATGTATGTCAAATTATCATACTGAACCCCATAAAAATGTAAAAATATTATGTCTCAATGAAAAGAAAAAATGGCTAGATAACTTAAGTTACAATTATCACAGGACAGACCCAGGATGCAGCCTCTTTATGGCAGATTCTGAACTTCAGCTCCTGAGTGTTAAATTTCTTCTTGTTCCCACAGATGGGAAAAAAAAAAAAACCCTTAGAAGTGATCTAATTCAACCCTCTCCCCTCAAGATGTTTGAATGAGGGGAGAATATCAGATTTGCTGAGACTCAATCACCTTTGGAAAGCTAGTAGTCTATATAGTCATTGTTCCTCTTCCAATACTATGACCTGCATTCTGATAAGTAATTTTGATATATGACCCTGAATGTGATACTAGTAGGGACAAAGTTGTTATGAAAAGGGAGAGAATAATATTTTCACTAATTAAAAAATATCTTTCTTCTGACATGCTGTCAAATTAAGCAAACTTAAAGGATTTTCCTTTTACAAAGAGTAGTCTAATGTACAGTAGTACCTCTATATTAGAGGTTTTGCTTCATACAATTTCAGTTACCCATGGTCAACCATAGTCTGAGGACTAAATGGAAAAATCCAGACCTGAACAATTCATAAGTTTTATAATTTTATTGCAGCATGTGTTTATAATCATTCTATTTTAATATTGTTATTCTCTTACTGTGCCTAAATTTATAAATTAAACTTATGTACAGGAAAAAATATACAGTATCTTTAAGTTCAGCATTACGCATGGCTTCAGGCCTCCACTGGAATCTTGGAATCTATCTCCTGTCGATAAGAACATAGTTTCACTTGAGGTCAGGAGTAGGGAGTAGAAAGGAGAGAAAAGCCATGACTGGATTTTATGATTTCATGTGCTGGTTTTAGAAAACAGACCCAAGACTGTACTAAATGTGTTCCAGCAGACTGGAGAAGTAGAAGGAATGCAAGATGTTGAAATGAAGTGAAGCTAAAAACTAGTATGAAACATATCCTTCAATATCCCTGTGAGGGCCCTTAAGATAAGGAAATCCTCATGTGAGTTGTCAGAGGTTGTTAATTACTCTTCACGTGAGAATTAAATTTGCTTAAGAGGGAAGACTATAGTAATTATCTGAGGTCAAGGGCCCATCCCCAATCTGTCTGCTCCTCTGTCAAATAGAGATAAAAGTCCCACTCAGGACTCTTAGTAATGGGAAATTTCCCATACAGGCACTTCCTGACCTACGAATAGGTTGTAGTCCAATCAAGTATGTTACTCACTAACTGGGAATATAAAACGAATCTTCTAAAAGCCTGAAGTGTTAGAAACTGTGGCTCCAGGCTTCATCAACCTTCAATACCCATTTAAATTTGGAATTTAGCTCAGCAACAAGTTGCAAAAGTACTTCCTGTTATGAAGCATGATAGAGGTGAGAAGGCTGGGAATAGGGTACTCCCTGTCCCTGGTCAGGTCCTGAACTTGTCTGGTTGTCTGCCTATCAGTGGCTGCTGTTCTAGCACTTTTAGGCCCAACAGTGGACCCTCGAGTTTCAGGCAGGCTGGAGTCATGGGCTAGCTAGCCATCTCTGCTACTATCAGGCCCAGGAGACTGTGTGAATGAATGTGACTCACCGTGAGCTCACATTTGTTTTTTACATAAGAGTGTGGGATAAAAAGTACAAGAGTTACATTTTTCATTTGATTGCTTGAAAAACTCCTTTAATTTTAGGTGAATATCTGCCCACAAGTAATAGGTAAGAAAGAGGGTGGAGGCAAAAAGGTAATTTAATTACCTTTTCAAAGATTATCATCATAGGCAAGGCAGGCCCAAGAGAACATTCTCAGGGAAGATAGCTCAGTCTGGGGTCCAGTTTTAACTAGTTGGTCAATACAATCCTGAGAGATGAACCCTCAAAAGAAATCTCCCAATAAACTGTGTACAAGACAGCTTTTTTTCAAGAAAAGTGAATTTCCTGCCATGGAATCCTAGCTTGGAGGAGCATTTTGGATTGTTTGATAATAGTCAACAGTTTGTGACACTATTGAGATTCCATCTAGGAACAGACCCTGGGCAGGTAAAAGTTAACTTATTTAAGAGAGATGGAAACTATGAAGGGCTCATATTTATACCCCACAAAAATAAAGAACAATGATGTTACCCCAGATTAACTTTCAAATTAGCTTGCAGGAGAAATTGGCTCAGTTACATCCCCAAAAGAGGGAAGTGAGGGATTTAAATAGGCACAGAGTGGTACCTGATAAACCTATCTTTTTGGATGGCTCAGGTACTGTAGGAGAAGGTGGAGGAGGAAGGTAAGAGGAGAAAAACCAGATAGGAAGTGAGAAAAAAGGAAAGTGGGGAGAAGAGAGAGAGAAAGAGAGAGAGAGAGAGAGAGAGAGAGAGAGAGAGAGAGGGGGAGAGAATGTGGATCCACAGTTGCCTTTATTTCCCTCAATAATCCACCCACCCTTGGGCTGCGGTTGTTGCTTTGTTTATGCAAAGTTAAACGGGCTGAGACACAGGAAAATTGCTGAGAGATCCACGCTGAAGAAGGCAAAAATAAATTTTAAAATTTAAATGAAAGTCACACACACACAAACAAACAAACACACACACACACACACACACACACTCCTTTGGGTTGGGGCAATTCCTGCCCGCAGACTTTGAAATGAAAACACCATGAGGAGGGGTGAGTGGGAGGCCCCAGCAGCAGCGGGGAGCGTTGTCGGTGACCGAAGGAGCTCTGGTGAATATCAGGTTCGGATTAGTGACAACTCAGAAGTCACGCCGGCGGTTGGGGGAGGGAAGTTTGCCAAGGTCTCTGAACTCGACAGAAGAGAGAGCAGCTTTCTCCCGGCGCCGGGCGGAGCTGGGCGTACCCAGAGAGACCTCTGTCCCGGCCGAAGCGAGCCTCGCCGTGCTAACTCCCCGCCCAGAGATTGAGTTTGTCAGCGATCATAAAATGGGAATTGATTATTCCAGCCACCATTGATTAGGGAAGAATGCTTACTGCAGCAGCGGGGAAAAGGTTAAGAGGAAATTGACCTTCTTCCTAGGTGACATAAAGTCATTAGGTAAATGAGATATTCACACAGGAGTTTTAAAAGGTCATGCTCAATTTTTATTTGTAGCCTGAAGAGTCAACCTGGAGCTGCGGCTTAGGGCAGGGACCTCCAACTCTTCGGGACCAGAGGAGCGACAAGAAAGAACTCTTGCTGTGCGGGGCAGGGGCAAGGGTGGGAGGTTGGTTATTGTCTTGGGAGGATCGTCCTGGAGTTGGGGGGAGTTCTGGAACCCGGAGCTTTGTACCCAACCGGTGTGTGCGTCCTTGGGTAGGTGTAGTGTGCGCTCCTGTTCCCAACCGGCTCTGTGCTTCGCGCCGGCGTCTGCTCGGTTCCAGTCACCCGCCGGCAAAGGGATGATGGGGCAAGAGCGGACAATTAAAAACACTTACCCTACCAGAGCCGACCACGTCTCACACAGAGTGAAGTGTGTGTGTGTGTGTGTGTGTGTGTGTGTGTGTATTTTAAGGAGAGAGTGAAAGATATATTTATGCACATATTTATCCCTCTAATTATAGGAATTAATCCTCTTACTTATGACTAAAAGGTAACGTCGAAGGACGTCCTTTTGATGTGGAAAAGCACCATTTGTGACTCACATTCAGACTGATTAAGGAATAATTGTTGTTAAACGCTTTACAAGAGAAAAGTGTTTAATTGAGGGGCATTCGTAATTTTACGGCTTAGTACAAAATTAAACGTAATTAAAAACTCAGAAATTCCGACTGATTTTCCAATTATTTTTATTGTCTGAGCTAATTGTTACACAAGGGTATCACTTCTCCCCAAAGGCATTAAAAAAAAAAAAAAAGCAACCATACCTTTTCCAAATATTCGCAGAGAGCCGACTGGGATCTTCCTCCAGGTACCAGCAGGATAAAGGACCTTTCTTCCTCACTCCCCCGCCTTCGGAACTCGGTAGGCGCCCCTCCCTCCCCCACGGTAATTAAGCGTTTCAGCCACTCTCCCCTCTCTCTCTCGCTCTCTCTCTCTGAGTTCCTGCAACACCTTGGGGTGTGAGAAAGCGATGGCAGTTCTCTTCTGCAGATCATTACAGCAAAACTGGAAGTATCTGTAGAAGGCTGATGAATTTCTTGAAGTAACACTTGTCATACATGGCGGAGAGATTAAAAAAAACCTAAGTAAACACAGCTCTCAGGGGGCGATCCCTCGATGCCTCTGCCTTCTAGTGTGTGGCAGGAGGGAGGTAACGCGCAACACGGACTGGAAGATGTTTAGAAACGCGTATGGGAAGACGGGCAGATGCAAGTTGCGAACTTTCTTTTGCTTTGCACTTTATATCGTTGAGGCAAAGATGGGTTTCGGAAAACTTCTCTGCTAGCTTCGGGATTTGGAATTTTTGGTTTTGCTTTTCAAGGCTGTGATTGATGGTATAAAGCCAAGCTATCTTTGTGTGTTAGCTTCTTCTAATGTCCAAATAGACTTATTTAAATAAATTAAAAGGTTTATGAAAAGTGCTTCAGGGTAATGGAAACAAAAACACATCCTTACAGCTAGTCCAGAAGTGGTTCTGTCTTTCCTATCAGACTTGAAGGGAATCCTGGGGGGAAAAAAAAGCATAAAATTAGGTAGAATGTGAATTTGTAAATTGTAATTAATCTAGACTGAGAGCACTAAGTGATAGATTGTTTGTGTTTCAATACATCTTTAATTTCTCCCCGATTTTTAGGATAGAGACTTCAGTGGATTCGAGTTTTTTATCCACCTTTCCAATCCACACCCCATAAAATAAATGATTGCCTCTGATCTGATGTGCCAGGTGAAAATGGGTAGAATTAAAACTGTCAATTCTGCTTCCAACTTGTGTCTTGCGATTGAGTTCAAAAGCTTTTAAAGGTAAAACGTGCTGATCATTCATATGTATTATTTCTTTTTCTACCATCATGGCTTTTAAGGAAAAAGAAAGAAAAAAATATATATATATCCAAATTCATTTTCCTTGGAAGACTTCAGACTTCTAGATAATTTGATGATGGACCCTGATGCCTGTGAGAACATCTGCCTGGTGGAGTTCCGAGTTTACCCGAGGGTGACAAAGAAGGTGCAGTAAAATCTGTTTTTTCCTCCTGTTTTTTTCCTACTCAAATGGCATAATTTGGAAACAGGATGTGAGTATTTAAGCCTGACACTTTACAAGCGTGTCAATACCATTTTGGAGAAGAGATAAGGATAGGCAAAGTTGAGCAGAAAGTAGTCAGTGCCCTTTGAAAGTTACCAATGGTAAAAGAAAAAAAAAAGACATGAAATTCATTGTGGAAAATTGAGTAAAAGAGGTAGTGCACATTTTAGCGTAGGCAAAGATTGCTGAATCCTTTGAGGAAACTGACACGGATTTTCCAGAGATGGGGTGGGGGTGGGGGAATCCTAGGGTGGGCATTTTATGTAAATGAGCAAATTCGAAATGTAGTACAAATCCAGTATAGTAAAACTGACAGTTCTGACAGTATTGACAACATAAATATATGTTTGAACACTGCACTTTCAGACACTTAACCGATGAAGCAATAAAAAATTCGACTACAATATTTCAAATAATCGACATTGATGTTTTGATACATCATTTTTATACTCTGAATCGATCTATCACTCGGGAGCTGGTCAATTTTAAGTGAAAATGGGCTGCAATTGTTTGCACCTTGGCTAATGATGACCTAATAACAATTCTCAATTATTTGCACCCCAACTGTGATTTCTTCCTACACTAGTGGGGGCAATTCTTGGGAAACCGAGCCTAAGATGGTGCCACCCACCTCCCTCCTTTCCATTTTTGTGTCTGTCGGTCAAATTTCAGAATTGGGAATGAATGTTTGACTAATCACAGAAATCACAGGCCTCATACCTGAAGTAGCCACCTATAGGATCTGTATTGGGGATATGGCTCTCACTTAATTTTCAAAGTCAAAGCTAAATCTTAGAAAATGCAATCATAACTCTCCCTCAGGCCACATGTCCTTCCCTGTCTTTCAAGGACTAGATGGAAGAGGTTTGTTCAAAGGGGAGGAATGGAGACTTCTCTAAGGCTGAGTGTGCAGGGTGTGTGTGTGTGTGTGTGTGTGTGTGTGTGTGTGTGGAAAGGCGGGATGGGGAGGAGGGAGAAGGAAATTTTAAGAGTGTAGATAAAGCCTGGTGCTCATTCTAAAGCACCTAATCCCGAACTGAATCTCTCCTTTGGTTCCTATTTCCTCTCACCTCACCCACACTGCTGAGTGTTTACAGGTTACTTAAAAACAAAACAACAAACAAACAAAACCCCACAAATAAAAAAGGCAACCGAAAAAGGAGGGAGGATGCTAGCAAATACTGCATCCCTCTCTAGGTTTTCAGGAAGTCTCCTTGGGTACCCCTTCGCCCTCCCTTTGCCCTGTGGGTTTTTCAGGGAGTTTTCCCACTCTCTACATTTCTTTGCCACCACTTCCCAGATTTGTTGCTGGGAGTGAGGAGTTGCAGGGGATAGAGCAGGTTAAAGGAAGTGGGGGAAATATCCGACAGGTCCGGGACACAGACTCAAGCGGTCCATTGTGAAGTATGGATCCGCAGAGGCAGTGGGAGGCCGCTTGCACCCCCACTCTGACTCTGTGGAAGGCCTGCCGGTGCGCTGTTCTCACCCCTGTGAAGCCCCGACCCTTCCTCAGACACGCAGTGAGAAGTGGCCTTCTGACCTAAAACTTAACTAGGCTCCACCAGCCCAGGATTTCAGTTTCCTATTTCTTCCTTGCAAACTTCATAAACGTAGTTTTAAGCCCCTCCAAACAACTGCCAAACGACATTCTGGGACTTTAAGGAATAAGTTTAGTAACAGTAAGGTGTTATTGAAAAGCAAAGAGCGTGTGTGATCCACGCTGTGTAGGGAATGGAAGACATGGAAGGGTTCCGTCGCCAGATCACCACCTAGTAATGAGGGTTATCAGCTCCTGGCTAGGTCGTTCCAAGCTGTCTGCACTGGAAACGAGGTTAAGAACTAGAAAAGAGACTGAAGGATGAGAGAAGGTGGGTGGTGATACGAAAGAGCGGAAGAGAAGAGAGAGGGAGAGGAAGAATGAGAGCGCGGGAAGGAGGAAAAGAGAGAGCGAGAGCAAGTCGCGTTTGGAGCCCCGCCAGATAGCGCTAGAGGGCTATTTATTGAAACCCTTCCCTTTGCGAGATCATGAAGCCGCTAAAATTGGGAGAAATAAGGAATAACACAGGGCAAAAGGAAAGCAAATTAAATGATCCCATTCCATCCCATTAAAAAAAATTGTAGGGTTATTTATTGTCATTAATCGTGGGGAGAAAAATCTATAGAAAGCCTAAGTAGGAAAAAGCCAACTAACAACAAAATCCTAGCAAACAAACAAACAAACAAACAAAATCCCCATTCCTCTGCTAATCCCAGCTAGGAAGAGAGTTAGCAAAGTTAACAGGTAAGGAAGGGAGTGGAATTCTTTCTTCTCTTAACTTTCAAGAGCTGCTGGTTACTCTACTGGGAAGGTCAAAAACAGTTCACAAGGATGAGCCAAGGTTTACCCAGAAGAAGTGTTTTAAAAGTAATAGATGGCTCCAAGGGGTAAGGGTGGGAGGGGAGACAAACACGTTATTGGAACCGTCAAATAAAATATATATCAAAAATTCCAACTGTCAGCCAGCAGGTCTGGGGCACAAGACAGCCCCTTAGCCTTTGTCATAGCAATGCTGGACTTAGGGCTATCTCTACAGGACTGGAATCAAACTCCTTGAAGAACATTTTAGAAATACTCTGGAAAGCTTAGAGGAAACAGCTAGACTACAAAAATCCAGTTTTGTTTAGAATCCAAAGTGCTGCAGATGGAGAAAGAAGACCTGGGGACAGAGATGGAATTCAGAGAGAGAGAGAGAGAGAGAGAGAGAGAGAGAGAGAGAGAGAGAGAGAACACCAAAATGTAGTTTTGAAAAATATTTATTTTTTAGTTGTAAGTGGACACAACACCTTTATTTTATTTTTATGTGGTGCTGAGGATCGAACCCAGTGCCTCATGCATGCTGTGCTAGCGCTCTACCTCTAAGCCACAACCCCAGCCCCCAAAATGTATTTTAACACCCTTTTATTTGCTCAGTGATGCAAGAAAAAAAAAAGAGCCTTCTTTCATATATTTTACTTTTAAGTATTGCTTTGGTTTTATCCTAAAATCCCAGGCATTTCACACATCTAACTTCTTATTTTAACACTACACTTTCCTTTTTTTCTGAAGGAATCTTTTTTAAAAAATTGAAGTAATAATTCATATTTTTCTTCCAAACCAGTAAATATAACATCCCTACACACAAAAAAAAACCCTGAGTTTTTAAAAAAAATCTGCTTAATACAAAATATTCCAAAGCAAAACATTAACCAAAGTGACAAACAAGATTAAGTTTGGATTTATTTGCTCCTCTAGCAAGGCATCAATTGTTCTAACTGTTGTAAGAAGACAAAAAGGATTTAAATCAACTGATTTTAATACACAGATTAGCACTTCAGACTTCACATTTCTGAGGACTCTGGAGTTATCTGTGCAGAGGATCTATAACTTTCTAGAAAGAAGAGGAGGAGGAGGAGGAAGAAGAAGAAGAAGAAAAAGAACAACAAGGAAAACAAAACTAAATGGCCACACAGCCTCCTTAAGGAGCAAGGGAAGATCCACCTAAAATAAAGTCTGAGTTTATAAAAAGCTTCTTTTAAATAACTATTCTTCTAAAAACCAATGCCCTTTAAGTTAAGGAACTATAGGGGGATTAAATTATTCTTTTCAAATCCTAAATGTTACCTATAATAACATGCAGTGTTGGGTCTAAAAAAAGGAAAAATAGAAAAGAAGGTTTTCAGAAGTCTTAGGGATGCTTCAGTAAGAAAGGGGTGATTAAAAACAGACTCTTAAATTTGAGAGGCTCCATTCCCCGCTCCTGTTCACTCCCACTCCTGGGTCCCCTCCCTTTCACTTTTTTTTTTTTTTTTAATGCAATGCCCCCACCCCCACTCCAGAGCTAAGTAGCTGATTTGGGATTCTGAAGAAATAGGTTTCACCATCCACATTTGTTCTGGGGCACTTGTAAAATGCGATTTGTAGAGGGTCTTTAGCCTTCTGATTGTCTTTGAATTGTTTTTACTGAAACAGATCTTTTGCAGTTAATGAGTCCCCACGCAGCTGGACAGCTCCTCTCGGACACTGAGAACTCTAACCCCAAAATGACCCCAATTTGACACCGCAAGATGAAATTTTACCGCCTGTTAAAACCATTTCCAGCCTGGTCAGAAGGAGCTGATTGTTGACGGAGGTGTGTGCCTCCTCCTGTGACCCCCATCTCTTGCTTGTCTCCTGGGCCAGCCCCACCTACTTTCCCTTTACCCCAAATGGGGTAGAGCAGATGAGCCTCCTGCAGCCTGGGTGGGACTGCCAAAGCTGAGACTGGGGCATCAGCAATGTACCGCCAGGTTAGACATCAGAAAGCAGGGTTACCCCACTGCTGTGAAATGGCTTCTGTTGGGTTGGAAAATTGAGGACGGAGAACTAAGTAAATTCTTAAATCTTAGACGAGCCTTTTCGGCTTTATTAATAAAATAGCCTCAAGTTGCTGATTATAACAGTCCTCTGAAATCATCAGATTGATTGAGAGACAATACCCTGAAACAACTCCAACTTTATGTCCTAGATAATCCACCACAGAGGACTGCTATTTTAAACTAACAATTTCACAAACGACATGAAAGTGGATAAGTGAAATCTTTTTAGTTGCAAGAAATTTGGGATCTCTCTTTATGCAGTTGGTGAATTTTAAAACCACACACATGTCCTCCAGTAGTGCTGCACTTTTACTATTCTCACACTTCTTAACTAAGAGTTAAAGATTTTTTTCCTCTGTCAGTATCTTAAAATGTCATATTTCTGTCTCCCTCCTACATCTAACCAGATTATCCCATTGTTTGCTTTAATGTATTCAATAAAATGCTATTGAAGTTATTGAATATTAGAGAGAAAGAAAGTAAGAAGGGGAATTGAGGTTAAAATGCCTTCCGCCTCCCAAAAGATGAAAACAGTTTATACTTTCCTTTCCTTTTTTTCTGTAAAACCCAAGATTACTACCAGATAATCAAACCATTTTTAGTTTAACAATTGTTTAAAAACAGAAATCATCTGTTAGGCTGAGTGGTTTTACTCAGTTATGTTGCCACGAAGAAATATTTTTTATTGCTAACTCGCTTTAGTGCACCACTACGGGGAAAGGGCGGTGGTAAAAGAAGCGCAAGGTATCAACATTGAGTGTTAGAAGACTACCCGATCCAGAGGTTCAGCATTAAGTTGATCTTCAGAAAAGATGCGTTTATCAAGAAACTTGAGGAGCTTCTTTTATAAAGAAAAGTAACTGGCTCGCTCTTAACAGGACATTTAAAACAACAATAATCCTATTTGCGACAGTAAATACCAACATTGAATTTAAGAACTGGAAGAGAAAAACTGAGTATAAACTTCTAAACCAGCAGCGCTGCACCAGAGAACGATCTGTAGTGAGACCAGAGTGGATCTCGATATATCTACCTATCCATCTCTCTCTCTCTCTCTCTCTCTCTCTCCCCCCACGCCCCCTCACGCCCCACGGATAAACTGAAATTCGCTTAACTGCCGCTTGGAATAACATTCTGGAAAACAACTCCCCCCCCCCAAATTTTGAGTCTTCTCTTTTACTCACCTTTTCTTACATGTCGATAAGCAACTCAGCATCAAACGAGGATATTTTTAATCTTGGAGTTCTTCTAGGGGAAAAAGAGAGAGGGGGGGGAGGAAGGAGAGACACTCGCCTCTCCCCAATTTTCAGATTTCATAACCGTTCACTCTCTTCCAAGCTTGAAGCCGGGCAAAGTGGCGGAAAACCTAGGCTATACTGTCCTCCCTGAAGCACCAGGAACCTAAGGCCGGTGCTCTGACGACCTGCCCAAAAACCTCGCGAACCACAGCCCCTCTCTCCTTGGTGTTGCCCTACCCTCGACTCTGCCAGCCCCTCGGAACTGCCTTTCTTTATACGTGAGGCCCGGTTCCCTCAGACATCATTGTTATGATGGCTCATTTAATCAAACTGTTTAATTGCTCTGGTAATCACTATCATCATCACAGGTGCTCAATCATTCATCATTTTTGGAGGGCTTTATTGACCTCCGGAGCTCATTCCCCAGCCCTATTAAAAGGAGGCCAAATTTCTCCGACTCCACTTGAAGTCTCTGCAGGCTGCAATCTTAGTCTAGTTTGTGTTGCCCAAAAGCTTACAGTGAAGCAGAAAAGATGCAAAGGGGGCCAAAAAAGAACCCTCCCACCCGCCTTTCCTTCTTTCTCTAAATCTACACACACACACACACACACACACACACTCTTACACTTTACTCCTCCTAACCACTCCCATCCACTCCATCCACTCCCCCCCACCCGCCGCCCCCGCGGGAAAGTCTGGTCAAAGCCGCGCGCGGAGCATACACTACTTTCTAATTTCCAGAATGTGTTCAGAGTTGGGAAGGGAGGCGGCTGTTGAAGAACAGGGTGTTTTCGGTTTTGAGGGCTAAGGACCGTGAATCACGGCGAAAGCGAGCAGTTGGGGAGAGGGCACGCTCCCAGCGGAGGGAGCCCCGGCAAGCTGAGAGGATGCGGGGGCGGCTGGAGTCGCGGTGCAGCGCGCTAGGGTTGACCATAGCTCCGCCCCCAGCTCCAGGCTCCGCGTGATTGACGCACTGCCGCTGAGAAACCGGCCTCGCAGAGGTAAAGCCGGGTGCTGCACTGGCCAACGTCTGTAGCAGACACCCGCCAAAACTAGTTTCCACACAAACGGTGAGGGGGAGTTACCTTCCTTCCTCCACAATCTTCCTTGTCTTTTTGGCAAAAGTTCCTTTGGAGCCGGCCCTATCTTCTCTACCCAGCAAAATCACCCGTTGTAATTATCACAACCATTAGCCCTTTATTTCACACCGGGCCGCTGCGCCTCGGAAGATCACAACTAGGCTGAGCAGGGAGCACCAGCCACTACTTACTAGACAACATCTCTGTTTACACTCTTTTTTCTTTCCTCCTTTCTTTCCCTCCCGTTCTTCCCAGCTCCAAGTAAGATCCACTTTGGAGGCGCACAGCAGTCGCGCGCGCGCGCGCGCACACACACACACACACACACACACACACACACACACCCCATACACACCCCCTTAGCTACATCGGACATCAAATGTCCAAACACCTCTTTCCCCACTTCCAACTTCTTGATTCCGCCACGACCCCCAAAGATTCTCCGGAGTGACCCCTTTGCACAGCTTTGAGGGAATGTGCTCTGAGTTAAGCTGGTCTCTTCTTGTCCTGGAAAAAAAATGAATATTGACAACAAGGGTCCAGGGGTCCCGAATCTGCACCGGGAAGAAAGTATCACTTAAAAAAAAAATCTAGCCCGTTGGTAATACCGTCTGCAGAGCCTGCTGCCCTCGGACGTTATCAGGAAGACTTCTGAGCGCTGTAATCGGCGGGCAGAGTCGAAAAGGGACTACGAAGTTAAAAGGAACAAAAGCGAGAGCGCCATGCCAAACGTCCCCGATACGACCCAGTTAGGCAGGAGTCGGGAGTGATGGGGGGAAGAAAAACTAGAAGTTTTTTAAAAATGAAAAGATCTGAGTCTGTACCGTACTTTCCCTGTGGTTTTCTGCAGTTTTCCTCTCTGTGCTCTCCCTGTCCTCTTCTTTCTCTCATTCTCTCTCCT